ATTGGGTAGCTTCGCGGAAAATTTGTTGGGTTGCTTAAGCTCGATAGATTAGGGTTTCCAAATATTCGCTATGCATATGTTTATGACGTAACAGAAGATTATACGAAAGATCAACAACCTCACGAAAATGAGATAAAACTCATGAAAATTTTTATTCAATTCAATAATCCGCCTCAAATGGCTTACAATGTTTTAAATAGTAAAACCCTAACAAAATTCGGAAAATAAATAATAAAAAAAAAACGATATTTTTTTATAAATGAAAAAATTCGAGATTTTGACTTAAATGGAAACTCCTAATATTCAGGATTGTCCTCCAACAAATGAAATCAAAATCCAAATTTTATTGAATGAAATATTACCAAAATAAAAATTACGATAAACGGCAAAAACGCTTAATCGAGAGCCTAAATGACGGAATCTGCCCGAAATCCGACGTACGTCATGGCCGAAGGCAGTACTTTGTGATCCTTGGCCAATTTCCAATCAAATTAGACTATCAATTCGTCAAAAACAAACAAACCCGAAATTATTATGAAATCATTATTTTGCCTTGCGATTCCATTTCATCATAAATTCTAACTCTTTATGCACTTCATCAATTTAATAGTCTTTACATGTGCCTTAGTTTTCTGTTTTCTCGTTGTTTGTAACATAAGTAATACTTCCTTATTTACTTTGAAAATAATCTCCTTTTTCTTTTCCGTTTATCCTACTTGTATTACTCGATCCTATATATCAATAAACGTGGTAATTACGGATATTGTCAAACTCTCGTACCGAGTCTAGATGGAAGCCTAAAGATTTCATCTAGCCGTTGATGGTCGCATTCCTCTAGAAACAAAGATTTGGAAGAGAATTGAATCATTCCAAGCAGCCCTGAAAATGCTCCACTTGGGTATCTTTCTTGTTACTCGACAATCATGCATTGCCTAAACCATTAATAATAATAATAATAATTAAGAATATTAATATTTCTTAATTTCAAATTTGGATCGACATGATCTTGTAGGAAAGAATAGAAAGATTCTGAGACATTCACTACACAAACAAAAGGCTGATGTGAACAAAATTATCATAAGCTCCATTTGAATAAATTAAGTTTGTTTATTAATTATGTTAGTTAAAGTAGGTTCCCCGACAGAAACATCGACACTGAATGATTTGTTCATCACTTGTCCTATGTTTTGGAGGTCCAAATGGACATGCTCGACTTGGATCTAAGCAAAAAGAGAAAAATTAAAAATGAAGTTTAACCAACGATGTATAACCGATTGATCTCAACCAGAGTACATTCGAGTTTGTCCAATACCTATTCAATTTTGCGAAAGTAATTAATCTAAAATGTAATGGCATCTCTGGTAAGTTTGATAAATAGTATTGAATAGAATAATTAACAAATTTTGTTACATATGGTTCTTTAATTTTGTTTAGAGCTTGATTGGTAGAGATTAAAATCGGATTGAAGTTTAAAAATTAGTCGTTATTGTTGACTTTTATTAGACGAGTGAGACCCAATAACGGCTATATTTTCAATTTTAATTGAATTTTAAGTGCTCCCAAACAAGCTCTTAGTCTTTTTCAATTTAACGTATCAACCTTGTAAGCCACCAATGGTTGTCCAATTTTGGTTGGAGGTTTAAAGGGATAGCTTGTTTTATTAATTTTAGTAATTATCAAATGCATGATAGATCAACGGGATAAGAAAAGTTCCCGTTTGATTGCCTCACTACAACAAAAATAGCTTTTTACGGTATATATTTATGACGTGCAATTGACACGTGCTGTAAAAATAGACTTTTTACGACGTGCAAAAAATGTTTGCTGTAAATAATCAATTGCATAAAGTATTTACGGCGTACATTTTTTGCACGCCGTAAAAAATTGATTATTTACGCCGTAAAAAAAAAAACCCTTTTTCGTATTATTTATGGCGTGCACAATTGCACACCTTAAAACCCTTTTTCGTATGATATTTTTAATTCAATTCAAAATGATTGATTGAGTCGAAGTATTCGATTGTGTCAAGTGATATCAAACTTTTGTTTTAGAAATAAATTCAAAATGCACCTCAAACAAATGAAATAAATTTAAATCACTTTTTCACGACAATTTTAGATGAAGTGATTTAATTATAGGTGTGACGAGCATAAATACTGAACCATGTAAAAGAATCCAACTCAAAATAGATCTTAATGTAATTACTAAGTATTGTACCACTATTATCCAAATAGAGTGACGAAAAAATATTCATATGACCGACCCCATTGTCGTACCCTTAGAGCAGTTCACTGTTAGTTGTGCAATACTTAAATCTTGTTTTATTTCTCTACATTAAATTGGAAAATAGAACATATATAGGTTGGAGCTTGTCCCATATGAACTACGAAGGACTTTCAAAACAGACATTTCAACTAACAACGCCCCACTTTGTCTACTATTTTGAGATTTTATAAAGAGACTTTGTTTGGACAATATTCTCAAGACAAACAGAGGATTCAATTACACGAAAAATCAAATGATTCAAGATTCACACGGTTTGTTGGATTAAACTAATGCTCGAGGTTAAGGATGACCAAAATTTTCTATTACAAGATAAAGACGACGAAGATCATAAATTTTACGAAGTACTCAATACGACAAGACCGTATAGTACAAAAAGTTTAATTTCTTTTTCGTTTTTAATATTGTTTAGTCCTATTCTTCTAGACACAAGTCTCGTGTACATAAAGGAAATTGGAATTTCTTTGGCTTTCCTATATAACATGATCTAAAGATAGTCGAGACTTCAAATTTTCAAAACATGTTCAAGATAGGTATATCTACCAACAATTTTGACCATGTTTGGTTTAGATGAAAATCACATCTTGTAGATTTTGATAAACGTTGATGGAATGTGTGGTTGAAATATGTGTGGTTGAAAAGTTATGAGTCTCATGAAATATATAATTAAAATTAATTGTTGATTTTGACCTAAATTTTAATATATTTTAACTGAACGGAACACAAGCTTCATCAACTATTATCACATTTATCCGTCAAATAGACTCATATTTTCTTATATCGATGTAGATTGTATCAATAATCACATCCATAACATTTCATCTGATGACAAAATCTAAACAAAATTTTGTTTCACCTCTAACAATTTAAGTTTTAATATCAAGTAGTTGATCATAATACAATACATAAAAATCTTAAGTTCAAGTTGCACCACCCCCTTCTACAAAAATTGTGCAAGTATCATGGATAATGTTACTTATCATCATGATGATGAAACATTGATGATGTGGCAACCAATTATCTGCCACATCTCTCTCCTCCCCATTTTTCTCATAAAAATTGAACAGTTCAATCCTATTATTCTACGTAGAGTCACATTATCCATATTAGAGCCGTAAATGGATCAGATATGGATCGGATCTGCCTATATCCGATCCGATCCGATAAGAAAATTTATTCGATCCGATCCGATCAAATAATCCAATAGATATTTAATTGTTAAATCCATATTCGATTTGCAATGTTATCGGATATCCGATCCGAAATTAATAAAAATTAGGGAAAAAATTTTGAACTAACTTGAGGCCCACCTATTTTTCCTAACAAACTCAATAGTGACTTCTATTATCATGATATTCATTTTTAAAGGAGGGACATTCTTCTAGTTTTCTATTGACATTCGGCCCTCATTTGGCCCTCATTAAATTACATTACATTACATTAAATTTTTCTCTCTCTTTATTTCAACTACACATTCATCAAATAAAATAATATTACACAAAAAAATTTCAACCACACATTCTCCCATCAATCACTATTCTAAAAATTTTCAACCCCCAAAAATGCAAAATAATGGGGGCCAAACAGAGGCTCGATGTGGGATAAGGTAAAATTGAATTTCAATTCTAAATATAAATATTTTATTTCATTATTTTCATTAACAAATCAAATTATTTGTTACATATTAATTATTAGTTTTTGAAATTGTAAAATTAATTACAATAATAAATTTAATTAAGAAAAATATAGATATTTATTTACTTTAAATTAGTAAACTAAAATTAGAAAAATATTGGTTGAAATCAAATTTTTTTTTTAATTTTCCAATTCTTAAACAAGTTTAATAATTATAAAATTTTTAAACTTTTTTTTTTGTTTTGAATTTGATCATTTTTTATTCTACATTTATTTATTTTAGTGACAAATAATATGCCATAAAAATCTTTTATCGACTCAATTATTTATAACAAATCGGATCGGATTGTTATCGGATCGGATTGACCTATATCCATATTTGATCCATTTTGTTAACTGATTATCGGATTTGAATCTTGATTGGGTTATCGGACTGAAACCCTAAATCCATCTCCCATTAATTTCGTCGGATTCGGATCAGATTCTAATCAAAATCCGATCCATTGACAGCCCTAACCGATATTCCATCATCATAATAATAAATAGTATTATTCAATTATCAGACGTTTAATCGAAATGTAAATCCAAACATCACTTACAACATCATGTTAAAGATAAAATATAAATAAATAAATAAATAAATTATTCATGTTAGATGGATCAAGAGGTGCCCTCTTATATAAACTTTTACATTATCCCCGTCTTTATCCTGTACAAGCTTCAAATGCACAACAGTTGTATAAATTGACTAAAATAGTAGTCTGGAGAAATTTCCAAAAGAAGTCTATACTTTTAAATTGCATTTATGAAATACCAACCAAATCCAATACAATGAAAATTCCATACTGAAAGAGCCAAATGAGAGCTACCACACTGCAAAACTACCAACAATTAAGAACTTTTTCAGTTGAAGTTTTTCTTCATCATAGATTCTATATTAACTTCCTGAATTCAATTTAAAGTCTATATATACCCATCTCCTTCTCTTATCTTCTCAGATAAACTATTTATTTCAGAATATACATACATATATGGAGCAGTACAGGCAGTATAATTTGATGCAGATGAAGAAAAAACATGTTATGAATTCAATCAGCAGTTCATGGGAGGAAGAAGCTTTTGCAGAAGACTCCATGGGTCCTCTTGGAGGGTTCATATGGCCTCCAAGAAGTTACTCGTGCAGCTTTTGTAATAGAGAATTCAAGTCTGCACAAGCACTAGGTGGCCATATGAATGTCCACAGGCGAGATAGAGCTAAACTTCAGCAATCTCCTGATCGGAAAAACGAAGTTCTTCGGCATGTAAATTATAGTCTAAATCTTCCTAATGTTAAACATCAATATGAAGCTTGCAAATATGGTGACAAAACTAGTTTTTCATCCATGTTTTATCAAGAAAATTCATTCGATCACAGTTACTTGCACGTTTCTCCGGCTTCATCTCCGCGGCCCAAAACTGCACCAGAGGAGCATACGAGGAAAGGAAAACTTATGTTAGAGTACGATGATGAGATGAATAGCTGCAGCAGTAAGAGACCTAAAAAAACTGGTGTCCCATCATTGCAAATATTTCAGAATCTATGTTCAAGTGATGGATTCACAAATTTACAGAAAACCAGCTCTATGGAGGACATTGATCTCGAGCTCAGGTTAGGAGATCCTCCAGCAGTGAAGTAGATAACCTTCAAGAAAATTTATCTTTTAGTTGATGGATGGAAAATTACATATGTTGTTAATTAGTAGATTTTATTTGCTGGTCGTTACTTAATTTGAAATTGATAACTAGTAGACAAATCTGTAGAATTCTTCATGTTAACTTCAACTTCTGAATTAATCAGAATGTTAGAAATTTCCATTATCAATATCAATATCAATTTATTGTTAACATAGTTCTTGCAATTTTTCAAGTTAGCAACTAAATCAATATGTGCGCGCCCATGTTTGGAATAGATTAAAAGATAATTAAAATTTTGTGTCAAAATCAAGAATTAATTTTAACTATGCATTTATGGGGTCTACAACTTTTAAACATACATTTCATCAACTTTTATTAAAATTTATTAAAAATTTGGGGCTTGTGTGGGAGGGATTAAAATCAGATTAAAATTGAAAACATAGCCGTTATTGTTGACTTTTATTAGACGAGTGGGGTCCAATAACGGCCATATTTTCAATTTTAATTGGCTTTTAATCCCTCCCGAACAGGGCCTTGATTTTAATCTACACAGGCTTAATCCAGCGAGTGTTTCATTAATCCTTCTGTAACATGGACTGTCAACGCCAAGAATTTGCAGCAAGAAAAGAAGAAGGATGAATTCTTATGTAGGGGTGAAAGAAGTGACAGTTATTTGAACTAATAAAGAATTTCACAACATGGAGTTACCATCTGTACCTAGTCTATTTTGTATTTTGTCCCTTTTCTTGTCACGCAAGAGCTTATCATTTTTGTCTTAGAAACTTCCGAAAAACGCTGCAGATCCTTTTTGAATCTATTCAATTATGAATTCTACGTAAAACCCATCAATATTTTCGAAAATACATTGATTTTTCACTTGCAACAAGAATGAACTCTCATCATGCCATGATCACCAGAACTATGCCTTGAAGTTAAAAAAAATCATTGTCACTAATTCTGGGTAGGCAACATAGTAACGCGGACAACCTAAATCGTATTCTAAAATTGAATATGAGGCCCTAAAAGCCTATGCTATTCAAGAAAATTCTAAACTAGTAAGCCCTAGCTACAGTATTATTTAGTTCCTAGTTGCCACTTGCACGCAAAGGTTCTTGCAGAATTTGCGGAGATTAATTTCTCGTGCAAATCTACTTACATTCTTTATAAGGAAATTTGATGGAACATGGCCATTGACTTAAAATTGCTAGGGTTTTCATTAATAATACTGAGAGATTTCTGTGGGGGAATTAATGATATCCAGTGAATTTATTCCATCGTAAGATGGTTGCTAGATACAGTTTCAAGGGTTCTGATTTTTCTACACAGGTTTTAAGAGATCAAAGTGGTCTGAAACAGGTGTTTTGTGAGTGCATAAAAACTGAGATTCGGTTTCTTCTACGAAGTAACATACATACTAAGTCCTTGTTTGCTGGATATTAAAATCAGATTTTTAGTAACTTTTGATAAAAGTTAATGGAATGTGTGGTTGAAAAGTTGTTGGACCAATAAAATATACGGTTAATATTAATTAGTTAACTTTGATTTAGATTATAATGTGATTTATCACAATACCAAACATGGGCTAAAACTATTCCCTCCTATATCGTCTGTGCTTTTTATGATGAGTAGGGTTCCATTAGAACAGAAAAAGACTGGCAATTAAGGTTCTGACAATCATCAGGACAGGATTTAAGAATGTTCAGTTGGCACATGGGGGGAGGGGGCATTGACATGTCTCTTTATCTGTTGTTATCAAAGAATAATGGAAATTTGTGTCATCTCTCCGACTTTCATTATAATCGCACAATTAGACTCCAAAAACGGAACCTTCAAGTCTTTGTTCGATTTTCACGTGACCATCGTACAAACTTAATGGTTTCCAAAATTAAGAACCGATATTGACATACAACTATAAGAAAAAGTTAGATGGTGTTATGGTTTGATCCAAATTCTTGTAGGTATTGAAATCTAAATTGGAGTGATCTTGAAAAGATTAAAATTATGGATCGGAAGAAAAAGTCGCCGCATTTTCGCTAACCTGATGCTAGCTGGGACGCTTGAGCGAGCCTGGTAGAAAACAACCCGAAACTTGATCGCTGCCTATCGCTCGAGCGACAGGCTTATCCGGCCATGCTCATTTTCATTTTTTGACGCGATTTTGAACTCCTATTCTTCTACAACTTGTTTTACTAGGGTTCATATATATATGACACGACTTGTATAGAAAATAAGAAGATTCATACAACATTTTAAGAGTTTTAGATTTCAATTGAGTACATTGAGATCTTGTAAACACAATTATTATTGATTATAGTGCAGATTTCTCCTCATTTGCTCGTGGTTTTCTCCCGTATTGGGTTTCCACGTAAATCTTTATGTTTATTTTCTTCTTATTTATTTCATTATCTTTCGATCTAAATTCATAACAAGTGGTATCAGAACAATTCTAGTATCTTGTTTGTTTCTGTTTCGCGCGGGTTCGCTCGCTAACAATTAAAAGGGGATCCGACGATTGTGTAAGGGACAAACCTCTTGAAACAAAGTCCCAAAAAGGGGTGTTTATTGAATATGAAGATTACAAGCTTGGACGTAGACAAGATGCCTCCAAGGGACGCAAGCACACAAGTACAGGGGAATCGAAGTTAATTAAAACTAAGTCTAATAAAAGGAAATTACATATTCTCTGTTTGAGAGTCAATTTTGTCCGGCTTATCTCATTATCTTCTTCTTTCTTTTATACTGCTTAGACGGCCTTCAACTGCTTAAAAACTGNTTGCCCACACTTTTATTCAGGCTCTCGTACTGGACCTTCAATTGGGCTCCGCTCTTCAGATACTGGGACCTCGATTGGGCCTTGCTCTTTTGGACCTTTTGAGTGGGCTGCTTCGCTCTTTGAGCCTTGTGCTTGGGCTGCACCTTTTGTGTGTCAACAGTTTCATAACAGATGTAATTAAACTTGTGAGTCGAATGATAAGTTGGGACTAATGGTACTGCAATTACCACAAGAATACTTGAAGTTTCTGAAGGGAATTTGGAGTGTTCTCTATATCAGCTTGGGGTGGGGTGGGGTGTGCGGATAGGGAGAACTGCACGTGTAACCTTGGATATGTAAGACAATTGGACGATCTCATAGAACTAGAAGAGAGATATCATTCTTTAAAACTGAGGATTTTTCAAATCGTCATTTGCTTCCAAGCTTGGTTATGTTGAAATTTGTTCTGTGGAAGTTAATTACACGTTCCTTCGTTTTCATTGACAAAATCATATACATTCTTTTTATGTTTAATTTTGTGAAATTGTTAAATATATAGCACGAGGGCGAAATTAAATTCTGGATTCAAGTTTTTTCGGCATCAATTTGTAAAAATTGTCGGTGCTTGTTGCATGAAAGGATATGTAAGATTTAAATTAACACATATCGCACGTTAAAAATTTTAAATACAAATGGCTCTTTTGTTAAGGACGTTAATATTTCTTCGAATGAAGTAATTGAGGCGTAAAATAATTGACTTTCTCTTCCATATATTCGAAATTAAATATTTGAAACGGAGTAGAACAAACATAAATAAATATAATAATTAATTAAGTGGTCCGTCGAAAGTTGCTCCTGTCGATATTGGAAAATGACTCTATTCAACTGTCTGTAATATTGATTAATGTACATAGTGTCCATTTTAACGACTATTTTGTTGAAGCAATAACTTATATTTGGTTGGCTTTTTTCATGTGTTCAGTGTGTGGAGAGGGAGAAAATCTTCAATTTTAAATATGATCCTAAGAATTATAAATTGAAGGAAATAATTAAAAGGTCCAAAAATCAACAATTTAGAGTTTTAAGTTGGGCATGAAAGTGTTAGAATTCACAAGTTCATATAGATATTCCTAAATATTTATCATCATATTTAGACAATAGTAATTTTTTTTTTGTTTACCAGGTTGAATTCTTCTAAATTAACTAATTTCTTTCGAGTTCAAATCAATCCTATTAAATTAAATCAACTTGTCATATTTCCACGTGAATCAGGGTAACGTTTAATCAAGAGCATTCAATCACCAAAAATTCAATTAAAAACTGCAAAGTTAGTGTAGGTGTCTTCTACCTTTTCTCCAAATTTTGATTTTACTGCATGGTCTAAACAAAACTCACCTCTCGGCTCGATACCTCACAAATCAATAAATTAGTCATCAAGTAATTTAAGGTACTGAATAATAGAAGTAAAACAATCCACAAACAATCAATTGAAAATCAAAGCATCATCATTAAAATTAAGTTCAAAACTAAGTTACATCATTTGTCCCAACTTTTGGTCTAGTTACACATCATGAAAAAAAGAAAAATACAAAAAAAAAAAAAAAAAAG